AGCTGATTTGGGGCACGTGAACCTTGGCTTTCCAATCCAAGTGGAGACGTTTAGCAGGCAGCAGGATGTATGCGTCTGGTGCCCAGGAGCTAGAAGACTGAGCCAGGGAAAACACTTGCGAGTCCTTAGCATACCTTGCTGGCTCAACCCAATAGAAAGGTCGAAAGTCTCCAGAAGAATAGAAGACGAGAAGACGGCATGAGATAGAACTTGGAGAATGCCAGTGTTTAAGGGGTGGGCACAGGAAAGTCTGCGGCAGAAGTTGAAGAGTGGCCTGGAGGTAGACTGGGAGTCAGCAGGGTCACGGGAACCAAGGAAGAAAGTGTGAGAACAGGCCCCTGTTTAGCAAGCTAGAGGTCACAGGGACCTTCAGGCTTGGTGGCAGGGACAGAAGCCTGTTTAAGAGACGACAGTGACTCTGTTTCCTCTATGCAAAGGTGGGCGTCTGCATAGACCCAGCCTCCTTAAATTGGCACCGTGAGTTCACGCAGAGCTGGGGCAGGACAGCAGAGGTTCCATCTGCAACCGGGTCCCTCTGAGTCCGACCAGGCCATGGTCTCACTGGAGGATCTGGAGGGGAGGGCCTCAGACCTCCTTTATTGTTTCCTTTCAAGCAGGAATGGAGGGTCCGTGGAGATATCCAGTCATAACCTTTCACTTTAGTTGGGACAATGACAGTGAGTCATAACCTTTCACTTTAGTTGGGACAATGACAGTGTTAGGTCGGGGAGCTAAGTCGGTGCTGCGGGTATTCAAAGAATTGCACAGAGTAGATCAGAAAAAAGTTTGTTTAGAAAGTAGATCAGGAAAAGTGTGTATAGACTTCCCTGGGAGAGAGGAAGGGCCAAATGCTGAGATCAGCTTGGCAGCGAATGCTTAAGGCTGGGGGTTTGTGCAAAGTTTTTTTCTGGGAGGCTGGGAAAAAGCATTCCTGCGGAATGAGTGGGTCGGGGGAGAGGGTTGTCCTTGCCATGGCGATGAGCTGTTCAGCATGGCAGCACTTACGTTTCAGGTGATTGGTCCCATAGACAGAGAGACTGGGCCAAGATTTGTAAAACAAAGTCTTGAGACACAGGGGTTCATTTTAGAATGTCCTTGGATTTAGGGAACTTGACTTTTGGGGGTGTGCTGTTTCTGGGTGAGATAGCAAGAGGACTGCGGTAAATACTGTTCTTGAGGGAGATGGCAGGAGGGCTGGAGCCGTCGTGACCGTCTGTTTCTTTCCTCTCAGACCAGGTGGTCAGCCATGTAAACAGGAGGACTGGGCTGATAACTAGAAACACGTCCTTGGAGTAAAGATGTTAATTATAATTTCTTGGTGCCAGTTACTGGGAGTAGGTCACAGCTTTACTTATCAGTGACTCTAGACAAAGGAGTTCATCAAGATTACTTCGGAGCAAGGGAGGTAACACAGCCTATTACAATGTGAGACATTCTTCTTTTTTTCTTGAGTTGGAGTCTCACTCCGTTGCCCAGACTGGAGTGCAGTGGCACGCTCCTGGTCACCACTGCCTCGACCCACTGGGTTCTGGCTGTCCTTCCACCTCAGCCTTCCATATAGCCAGAACTATAGGCGCGCACTACCATGCCCAGCTAATTTTTCATTTATTGTAGAGGTGAGGTCTTGTCAAGTTGCCTGGGTGCGTCTCAAACCCACGGGCTCAGGCAATCCACTCACCTCGGCCTCCCAAAGTGCTGGGATTACAGGCTGAGACACCGAACCTGGCCAAGATATTATTCTTTATAACAAGACAAAAGTATAAGCTGCCTGCCCCACCTGGCTGCGGTAACTCCATTTTTTTGCTTTGTCCTTTCAGATATCTTTTTTCCTAATCTGTTTATAGATACACACATTTATTGGAAGCACGAGCAAACTTAATTTCTCAAACTGAAGGATTTCTGACAAAGAAACTTTAGACATAGCATAATTATCAAACAAAAAGAGACTTTCAACAGAGTGCCTTTGGATTCTATCAAATCCTCCCTCCTCATTACAGATTTTCAGCCCATCTCTGGTCAGAGACTGTGGGCTGTGGCTGTCTTGTTTCTCAATTCCATTTGCTTCCAGCACAGAGAGGATGTTCATGGCTGGGCAGAGTCCACAGAGTTGCTTGTTCAGGGAGACTTCCTGAGACCTCTGCCAACACGGGAGGTCTCCCTGTCACCTGGAGACAACTGCTTGAGCTGTTGCTGTGGGCTGGGGAGGATATCGATGTCTCTCACACAGGACTGGCATTGCACAAATCCACCTCTCAGGCGGCAGCAAATATTACAGGAAGCAGGAGGAACAGGACTTAATTTCAATTTCTGCAGAATAAACATGAGGGAAAGTTGTATTTTAGAAGAGTGCTTAAAAAGACGGAGGATTGTCTTTGGAGAAAATACCTTGCTTTCTTTTTTCCAGAGGAAATAATTAATATATCACTTTCTTTTTACTGTGAAGCATTGAAAATAAAGGGGGAAGACTAGGAAAACTTACTGCTTAAAATCTGAGAACAGATTTTTGAGAGCATTCGTGGGAACCTTCCCCCAAGCCCACATCCAGTTCACACTTGTTGGAAGTTGGGTGGGTGTGCCTCCATGCAGAAGTACAATATAGAAAAGAAAATCTTCCACGGAACTAGTGGTGTTCTGTCACTTCTGGAAGTTATGGTCTTGAATTCAGGAGCCTGGCTTGGAATCCTAGTTCTGCTGTGCTTTGGGCTTGTGGACTTAACCTCTCTGAGTCAACCAAGGAGGGCATACTACATCTGCCTCCAGGATTATTCTGAAGATTTAATGAGTTAATGAATGTAAAACAACCAACAGAATACAGAATTAACTGTTAGGTTCCTTCCCCATCCAGCAGAATGGTTTGAAGTAGGAGGAGGTTCAGTGACCTGTCCCCAATTTAACTTAACCCATTCTGGTCTTTCCTCTTCCCTGAGTTGGGAGAACTGACCAGTTGGCCCCTCTGGGGTAACTGGGGGTGGGTGGAAGCAAGGATATTCTTTTCTGTTAGCTTGCTTATTGCCAGAAAGAGTCAGATGTGTCCAAGAAAGTTCTGAGGTCAAAGCTATAGGTCAGGTTCAGAATGGGCCACCAAGGGAAAGGGGTCTGATGAGTTGGGATGTGTGGCCAAGAGAGCGTCTGGGGAGCAAGGGCGTAGAGTTGTGTGTGCAAAAGACCCACAAGCTTGTCCTTGTGAAAATCTCCATCACACGGCAAGTCAGAGCCTTTTATGGGACCTTGGCAGAATGAACAGTTCATCACGCCTGCGAATCTAGTTGCTGGTGGCCAGAGAATCTTTGAGAATGGGTCTGTCTTGGCACCCCATGGCACATTTGTTTCTATTTTTCTCCATTTTTCCTTTGAAGGCCAGTTAAGGCCAATGCAGCTTGGTCATCATGAATAGGATAGTTCACAAGTGCCTTCTGCTGAGCTGGATTGGGTCACCCGGGAACATCACAGGGAGTCGTGAAATAATTCAAAAGGAAGAAACATAGCCACAGATTGCTAAGCACAGACAGCAGTTGAGACTCCCTATCAGATTTCCAGAAACAGCAGCAGGCAATATGAGACACAGCCCATGTCCCACAAAGCCGAGCTACAGAGGGAGCACGTCTCTGTGAGCAGAAACCACAGCGACACGCAGGCCAATCCCACACAGGGAAGAGGCGAGGGTAGGGGCTGGGAGACAAGGCCGACTGGGATTATCCTACCATAAACGAGAACACCTTACTTAACTGCGTCCAGTTTTCTCATCTCTAAAAGACACGTGAAATGAACATGCACTAAACATTGTCTGGAGGGACACACTAGAAACTAGCGTCAGCGGTTCCATTTTAGAAGACTGCACAGATGGAGACAGACAAAGGAAAGACTCTTTTCACCTTTTGATACAGTTTCATTTTTGAACCAGGCAGATTTCTGATCGTGGTAAAAAGAATAAATAAAACAGTTTATACCTTACAGGATCACACAGTCTTGGCAGATGGTAATTACTCACGTACATTTCCTGTTATTATTATTAACACAGCGATGCTGACTGGGTCATCTGTCAGTACCTGGCAGTCTCTTTCCCACACATCCAGGTCAGTGCCCTACACACACTTGCCTTACATAAGGTTTATAATCAATAGTATAAATTCAACCCCTGAAGAGCAGTCTTGTAAATGGGTAAAATGGATAAATAAGTACCATCTGCAAATTAGATTGCAAAATGTTTTATATATTTACTTTGAGTACATTTTATAGAATTAAATTATTGACAATGGCACTTGGCAGAATTTTTTCTCAATTTTTTTTATTCTGAAAAATTGCAGATCTACAGAGAAATTTCAAGAATAGTACGAACAACATTCACCTTCAGGTGAACGTTGTTCGTACTATTCTTGCCACATTTGTGTTCTCTTTTTCATACACATGCGCAGACACATATATAGATTTTTTCATACACATGTGCAGGCACATATATATATTTTTCTGAACTATTTGAGAGTCAGTTGCAAACATGATACTTTTGTCTCTAAATATTATGTAAGTGTTCGGAATACAAGGACATTTCCCTACATAACCACAATACAATCATCAAACTAGGACATTTAACTGTCGCATAAGACTATGATCTAATGTACAGTCCATATTCAGATTTCCTCTGGTTTCCTAGTCATGCCCTTTACAGCCATTTACTTTTTGCCTCTTGAGGGTCGTGCATTGCATTTGGTCATCTTTTAGTTTAGGATGTTTAAGGAGCCTTGCTTTGTCCTTCACCGACACTGACATTTCTGAAGTGTAGAAGTCATGTTCTGTCCTTCCCTCCATGCCCCAATGTCCTTCAGTTTGTATCTGTCTGATTGTTTTCTTATGAGTAGACTCAGCTTAAATATTTTTGCCAGAATATTACAATAGGTCATATTCTAGGGCTGCCTTTTGTAAACGTTCCTTAACCTTCTCTTTAAAATGTATGAAGCTTGGAGTAATTAAAATAATTTCTAATGTTCTTATTTCCAAATATCCAGCAGGTCAGTTATTGACAAGCGACTCTTGTCATCCCGTCATGATTGAGGCAGTAAGCCTCTTGTACCGATCACTTGATTTAAGGGCGACCTACCTGGGATCTTCTCACACATCAATCCATGGAATCCTGCAGTGAGTGTCTGTTTCATGACCCCAAAGCGTTATGCTTCTGGTTACTCATGTTATACACACACACACACACACACACACACACACACACGACCTCCTGACAAAGTCTGATCTTTTGCAGCCTTCTGAGGGAAATCGAGTGGATCCGAAGCCGAAGGTGCTGGCCTCAAGGTATGAGCCAGCAGTATCCTGAGTGTTCCAGGAATGGCTCCTCCTCATGTGAGCACTTGCTGCTTAACTTAAACTACCACAGTGCTCAGGGCTCCAATACGGTGAGCGCTGCCATGTGCACGAATGCAGAGAGGTTACAGGGGGCTAAAGACATGGACGTGGCACCTCACACCAGATCAGAGAAGTCAAAGTGTGCTTCTGGAAGAGGGAGAAAGACCTTGAAACCCATTATTTGTGTTTCTGCTGAGGAAAAGACTCAATGGAAGACACAAAATAATGTTGAAATATGGAATAGCCCAGGAAAGGAAGCATCGAAGAAAAAGAAAGACTATTCCTCTAAGATTTCATCTTTGGACAAAATGAATGGTTTGGTAAAGCATTCAAGGCAAAGGATTTTGCCAGTGGAAGGCGAGAGTGTAGAAGGCGAAATCACCACAAATTACCGCCATCCGCTGTTATGGCCGCTCAGCACGGATGACCCCTGGGAATCTGTATCTGAGCTCATATCAGAAAAGTGGCTTTTTCATAGCCCAGAGCATAGGTCAACTCCTCAGAAGTGTTTTTTGCAGAGAAGATCTCAGATTTAAACCAAAAGTGCTAAAGACCTCAAATGATGCTCATAAGGAATAAAAGTTATTGTGGTCTGTTTGGTGTCTGGTGTTTCTACTTACCTTTAATTAGAACCCTTTGATTAGATATTTTCTTCTATACACATAGGAGTGATAATAATCAAGGTCTGGGATTTGAGTTTTTTAGGCCCTTAAAATATTGTAACTGATTACAAGCTAAAAAGAACTTTAAAGTGATTCACATTTCTGTGGTAGGCAGAACAATGCTGGTCTCACAGCATTCCATATCTAAGAATATACAGAAGCAATATTATTAAAATTCTAATTCTTTTTTTTAAGTGCAAGCTAATTTTTATTTATTCCTGGAAAGAAACAAAACACAATGATGAATCTTCTTTTCTTAAGCAATACATATAACTTTGCATTGCAATACAATCATCAAAAATGAATACATATTCATTTTTATGGAGCCCCCTTTAAGAGAGCGACTGTGTTACTCAGTGGTACTAATTTAAACTTATCATGTTACTTATTCATGAACCTGAAAATGTTCTTTCTTATGTAATAAATCTGAGCTTTCTAGTTTTTGTAATCCAGGCTTCAATCTTAAATTTAAAAACCAATGAACTTTATAATTGTGTGAAATATTTCTCTATATTTAGGTAAAAAATATTCCTTTAAAGATTACCTAGGCAGATAAGTAGATGTTATTTTTTTACTTTCTGAGTTGGAATCTCACTCCATTTCCCAGGCCGGAGTGCAGTGGCATGCTCACGGCCATCCCAGCATTGCCTTGCTGGGCTCTGGCCATCCTTCCGGTTCAGCCTTCCAAGTAGCTGGAACTACAAGTGCACACTAACATGCCCGGCTAATTTTTTATTTATTGTAGAGATGAGGTCTTGCCAACTTGCCTGGGCTGGTCTCGAACCCGTGGGCTCAGGCAATCCACTCGCCTTGGCCTCCCAAAGTGCTGGGATTACAGGCTTGAGCCACCAAGCCTGGCCGTAGAAGTTATTTAAAAGTATAAAATTCTAATTCTGTTAGTTTCACATTGCTACAGTTTATCTATTTTGAGTTCATGAATTTTCCATATAAACAATTTATCATTGCTATCACCAAGCCTTCTTATGGAACACAAATAAGGAAATATATAAATTGGAATAAACTGAAACCATAAGGCAAGTTTAAAGCACCAGAGCGTTTAACTTCAATATCGTATGTTTTATTGTCTCCTTTTTATCAGTGATTTATAAAACATTAACCATTAGCTGTTAAGGATTATAACTGGGTACCTTCCCTATCTCACCTAGCTAAATCCTGCATGCTATGTGAGGAGGCCTAATGGCAGAATGGGCTCAGCTGTGCGGCTTTAGGAAGGGTATTTCACCTCTCAGTCTCAGCGTCACTACAGGGACCCTCTGTATCTGCAGTTTCAAACCCACAGACTTAACCAACCGTAGATGGAAAATATTAGGAATCCCCCCACAATACCACCATAAAAATAATACAAATAGAAAATACAGTACAACAACTATTTACATAGCATTCACATTATATTAGGCACTGCAAGTAATCTACAGAGGCTTTAAAGTCCATGGGAGGATATGCGTAGGTTATATGCAAAAAAGACACCATTTTATATCAGGGACCTGAGCAACCCCGGATTTTGGAATGGGCGTGTTCTGGAGCCGATGGCAGACACCGAGGAAAGACTGAATTTGTGAAATGCGAGAAATGGTGGCGTCTACTTTTCAGGGTTACTGAGAGGATCGCATGAGAATGCATACAGCAAGCCTTCAATAAATGGCCGTCTCACTCAGATACCGCCTTCTCCCCCGAAACATCTCCCGACCCCTCCGGCCCACGACGCGAGCAGACGCTCAAGCCTTGGTGTGTCTCAAATGGTGCCCCGAGTTCGCGCTGGCAGCACGGTCTCCTGGGCAGAACGCCACCCTGGAGTTCCTCTCCCGCGCCACCCTGCCCCGGCTCAGCGGCGGCCGCAAGACGACCAGGGAGCTCTCACGGTAGAGATGGCCGGCAGGGCTCTGGGAGGGCCACGGCAGCCTCCCTGCAGGCGCTGCACCAGACGCAGTCCACCCGCGCCGCCGCCCACGGGCAGGCTCCCGACCACGGGCTGCGGCGGAATCGCGAGGCACGGGACGGGTGCAGGCCAGCAGGTCTGGAGACTTGTGCTCAGAGCTGTCACCGCGGCAGGCGCCGGGGCCGGGCGGGCGGTCCGAGGACCTCCCCACGAGGCGCAAGCCCGGGGCGGGCACCGCCTTGCGGCCAGTGCGACGGGGTGCCCTTCCCACTGACGGAGGGTGAAGAGGCTGGGGTCCTCCGGCAGACAGCGGCCACGGGGAGGCCTCGGCCCCGCTACCCCTCGCGGCCGGCTTGCCCAGAGCCCAGCGGGGAGTCGGGGGACGTCCCCGACCCGCCCGCGCGATGCAGGGCAGGTTTAGACCGCAGAGGCCGTTAATGCGCAGAGAGGTCACTTCCGGAGCCTGGGCCGGAGCCGCCAGGAGGGCGCCCCGGGGCTG